GTAACTAAAAATAGAAATTCACCTAATTTAAATTGGTTTTAGTTTTGTAACTGATTTGTCTAGAAGAACGGAGAATATTTCAGCAGATCTACAAGCAGATCTAAGTAATTACTACACACGCACCAGAGAAAAAATAAATAGTTGTGTCTGTCTTTTCATACTCATTATCTCTTTCAAAGTCTCGACCCAATTGTTCATTATTCTGGAGAAAAGAACGCCGGTAGAAAAAACCTGCTCTCTGTTGATATCCTTGCAACGCATTGGTTTGAATGCGGTTAATAACAACAGTTTTGTTGAAATTTAATCTAATAAACGAAGGATAAAACTTGTACAGATGCTCTTCCTAGCAGACTTGTCTGTAAGGCTGGTTTCTGAGTTTTTGCGGTAATCTTAGGGTTTGATGATCTTTGAGAAATCAGATGTTTGCAGGTTTCATCAAAAGTCCACGGGTAACCCTGTTGATATGAATTTATATGCAATCAGCCTTCGTGAAGTTTATTATCCCTTTTTACAGGCGTGATGCAAACCAACAAAAAGGGATATAAAATATCAAGAAGGCTGATTGCAATTAGATGCAGATCAGCAAGGTTAGGTAAGCTCTTTTGATGAAACCTGCAACCATCTGATTCCTCAAAGATCATCAGAATCTAAGAGTACCGCAAGACTTCGGAAACCAGCTTCATCGATGTTTCCGCAAAGAAGAGCAACTATACTTTCATTCTTCCTTTAAGAGATAAAATTTCAACGAAACTGTTAGTTTTTAACTCCAGGCAATTGATCAAACGGGTCAAAACTTTGAAATAGATGGTGAATATGAAAAGACAGACACAATAAATTAATATTTCACTGGTACGTTTGAAGTAGTTACATTAAGTCAGCGCACGATTTCTTCACTTTTCTAGACAAATCCGTATCAAAACTGAAAACAAATCCGTATCAAAACTGAGCATCAATCCGTATGAAAACAGTTTAACTTAGGTGAATTTCTATTCGTAGTTACAAGTCTGAGATTAGTTTGTAAAAACCACAATGGAATTCAAAATTATAACATTATAAACAAAACTACATGCATACTTACAAAACACATGAACAATCCTAAATTAATTAAAATCTTAACTTACTCCAGTACTTAATTTGGTACTTACAATTTGGTACTTAAAAAACTTAGTATTTATTACGATTATTTCTGAATAAAGGCGATTCGGTACGTAAAAAGAGTACTTAAACAAGACGGCTAGGTGAACTCATCTATATTTTTGTATCAAAAGTAACGCTTGAATTAAGTTTACTCTGACATCTTTTAACTTTTACAGACATAGTTAAATGTATAGATGTACAAATCCAAAACTCAAAGCCAAAAATTGGATACATTGATAAGTTTTTGTGTATCAGCATTTGAAATATAGAAACAACCACACGTTTACATACACTTCACATGGAAAGTGGTAAAAAATTTTTGAAATCTGAAACTAAGTGTAGAATGAAATTGGTTTTCAGTTCTCTATCTAGTTAGAATTGCACGTACGAGCTGGGTAAATTTAACACATAAAGGATATGATTCGTACAGAGTTTTATGAGACTTTCATTGCTTCTACTTACCTGAAGATATTCGTTTGTACGTGGTATTTGTTACATTTTTAGTTTTTGGTTTAAAAAATCCAGAAATCAAGAAATAAAAAAAAATTGACTTGAGTTATTTTGTTTTATAAGATAAATTTACATGTTTGAACTCAATTTGGTTAGCCTACAAGGAATAATGAGCATGAATAGCAGCTACATACACTTGTACATAATCACCTACATACAAACATACACATATGTCATGGTTGCAAAAACAAAAGACAAATACTTACACCGCCTACCTAAACACAATCAAATGTAGGTGAACAATAATTGATTGATTATTTGTTCATAATTAGCCTCTGAAAAAACAATACAGAGTAATTAAGAACAATAAGAAGCAAGAAATAGACTTTCAATTGTAATTTTGAACTAAAAATATAAATCGTTATTTTTTTCGAAATTTTTTAGTAACAACATACCCATACACATTGTTTCGATAACATGAATAGCTTAATAAAAATATACTAAAAATGTGTATAGATCTTATATGCAAATTTTACATAAACACATAAGTTAAAAAGTTGAAGTATCCGGATCGAGTAAACTACAGATAATCTACCTAGTAAATTATTCTAGATTCTCATGAACTGAGTTGTAACTTTTCCAGCTATTGTTGTACATCTGATGGTATATACTCATATGAAAACAAAAACTAGTGCATTTTCAAACAGGCGAAAATAATAAGTAAGTATATATAAACATATATTTAAATCTAATCGATTCATTGTTTTATCAATCTCTAATACACAACATCGCTAAATTCCATATCTTTCTCAGCAAATAACTAAGCCCGCTACTTTACAACAGATATAATTGAAAAAGATTTTATTTTGGAAATCTTTTGAATGTATGTAACTGTTATCTCTGTCCAATCAGAAAATTCAGTTGAAGTAATGATTATATAAAGGATTAGCGGTTGAATGCGAAAATACATGTGAACAAAAGTTATTTTGTTTCAAAACTTGCTAAAAATTGTTCTTAATCAACCTCGTACAATAGTTGATATGATTAACTGTTAGACAAATTATGGTCTTGAACTGTAGTGAAGAAACCGTTTAAAGTCTATTTTGTATTTATTTAATTGTTGGTGTTTAACACAGAAACAATGTCCCTGCAAACACGCATTTGATTCATTTCAATTTTATCTTCACCCGTTTCACTCAAGTATTATTTCTCCTTTTAAAAAAATTTTTTAAAACGCTACTGAAGATTTTGACTGATTCTCCGAGTTTTTCCAGTCAACAGAAGTCAAGGTTTTAAACCGGGTAATGGTAATTGGATTACTCTAGATCATTTAAAAGTTCTTATTAAGTTCCTAAATCATTTAATATTTTGGTTTGATAACTTATCGCAAAATTTTTTTTCTTTTTAAGCGAAATTGTTTTACCGATTCGGTGAAAACAGCCAAACTTAAGCTAATCGAAGGGCTGGATTTACCCTTCTTCTTGAGACAGTTGCTGTTTAAGATGTTTTGTGACTGCGTTCCTCTATCTGAGAATCAACTTGGATCTCTGCAGGAAATAGAGAGGCTAGATTCGTCCTGGGGAATGGGGTCACCAATTTCACCTCCTGTTACTGCCGTTGCAGATCCCAGTCCAGCAGTAAGCCCCTGGTGCAGTCGGCAGACACCCGAAACCAGTTGAGTAGAAACGTCAACTGCACTCAATAAAAAAAATTGACCAGACTAGAACAATCTCTGCTATACTTGGTGTCTATATGAAACACTTCTAAGTCTCTTTTGTTTTCTGCGCTGTTTCATCGTGGCAATTGATTTGATTTCAAAACTTATTATTTAGCTGTTTGCCTTTTGTAGTTTTTTCAAAACTAATAAAAACAGTTCAGAGCAAAATTTTTCTGGCTTTTCGCGCTAAAAACTTGATATGTTTCATTTTGTTTCATGTCTGAAAAAATGGTCGCCTTATAAAATTTGATTTCACAAAAGAAAGTATAGTTCATGATTAAGTGTGTTTTTCTCGACAACGAAACTTTCATAGTTAATTTTATCAGCGTTAGTTGATCCCAGTCTGAGATTTTGAAGCGTAAAAAACATCAATACTGCATAAATACATGAGAAAAGTTTAAATTGACTTGAGTTACAGTTATACTTTTAACTTTGTTAGGCTTCTAAACATACAAAATTGCATGACAAAAGGTTTTAAAACTGTTTGAAAATTTGTAAAATTTTCTAAAAAGGTTGAAAACTTGTAAACGTACAAACTTACACAAAAAGATTGAAAAACTGAAATACAAGTATATGTTCACGCGCATTTTGAAAAAATTTGCTTTCAAATGCATAACTTCTTGTGCAATTTTTTACAGACTTCTAGACATCTCAGGTACTGAAAAAACTTAGTTATATTTTTAGCTATTTTTCAACAAACAGCTATTTGCTTCAAGTTGATTTGTTAAGCATAAAAGAATAAATACATTAAAAAACACAGAAAAAACATTCTTATTTTACAAAATTAAACAAAGACACAGACATAGCACACAAATATACAAACACTACCAAAAAACGCAAACACATACACAGCTAGAAGCACGTACATAGTAAGCACTGGCTACAAAGTTTGTTGATGTACAGTATTTCATGATATAAGACAGGCTCAGTTAAAAAGGCTCACTTAAAAAGACTCAGTTAAACATATAATTGTATAAACTAATTTATGTTTGTTTTATAGACAAAAACGGTTGTTTTTACTATATAAAACATCAATATTTAATTTAAAAACAGTTTTCAAACGTTATGCGAGTTTTTTTGGAAAAGATGCCTGTTTAAAGTTTGTTGGGCTGCCTAAGAGGCTCACTTTGATATAACTATGTCAGTCATTGACCAAGTAGCTCTGGCGTGACTTTTGATTGACTAAAAAATGTAAAACATTCTTTTTGGGGTAAATTTTCGGGTCCGAAATTCGCAAAACAAAGTACACCATAATTTTTCTGCTGAAATTTTAATTAATTTTTGTCTCCATCATTTTTTACCTAGAGTCTAATCAATTTGAGATAAACGTATTTTAAATTTTCAATTTCATTCGTTTTATCCGGTTAATTTAAATCAGCGCTGTATCTCCGTTAATAGTGCGAAATATGATGCGTGTTAATTGTCCCAAGTTGGCCAAATTAGCTATTTTTGAACCCCCATAATTTTATAAAAATAGATCACAGGTGAAATATCGTTTGAATTTGGAGCTCACATCAACAATGTTTTTCGATGGATCTAAAAAAAATTTCATCAAAATGTTGATAGTTTAAAAGTTCGCCTTTTATTTAGTTGGGTTGGAGAAAGTTCAGTTAGTCGAGTCGAGTCGATAAGGGGGGGGGGGGGTGAGGGGAATATTCAGATGGGCCAAATTTGTATAGCCATAAGGCTCTGTGACCTGGCTCTGTGACTTGGTGATGAAGTGCCACTCAGGTTTCCCTTTTCCTCCACTGCATCTTCATTCTTTTTCTTCGTCAATTTTTTCACGCCGGCTTCATCTTCTTCTCCCTCTCCTTCCACTGGACCCGCCTCTCCTAGCTTGAAGTAATTTGGTCTCAAACTCACAGAGGAGAAATCTAAGACGTCTAACACCGATTTCTGCTGAGAAGCTTTCAGATTCTCTTCTTTTTCTCGCAATCGCTCCTCTCTCGATTTGATCTTTGGCCTCAAATCCGAATGACTCCTTTCCCCTTCCAACTTCTTACCCTCGCCTCTTTTAGCTGGAACCGGGGATTTACTCTCTCCGCGATACACTCTGCCAGATTTTTCTGTCTTTTCGGGCGACTCACTTTTGTGTTTCTTGTCAAACAGACTTTCAGTTTTCTCTGAGTCACGTGATCCACCCTTCCTTCCCTGTCTTGTCGAGACCTCATCGTCATCGTCAAATAAGGACGGGGACGACTTGAGTTTTTCTTTTGTGTCACCGAAAAGCGAAAGAGATTGTTTGTCGTCTAAAATTAACGAATTAAATTCAACGTAGATTTTAAAGCGTAGAAATTCGGCGTAATTTTTACGTGATCTGATCTAAACTGTGTTAAAATTGAAATTGTCAAAGAGAAAATAAACCTATCTTCCAAAATTCAAAATGCTTTTCAATTTGGTAGTAATTCTCACAAAAAAAATTGGTTTAAATTTTTTACCTTCTTCTTTGCCCTTAGCTCCAAATAAATCATCCAAGAATTTATCTGTGGATTTTTTGCGTGGTCGTGATTCTTCCTCGATTTTTGAAGTAATCTTTGCTTTGGATTCGGTAAGGGTTGACACCCAAGAGAACCCTTCATTCGAATCTCTTGGCGTTTTGCCTTCTCTCGATTTCTGAACGTCGCCGAAGGAATCTCCAGAATCTCCAAACTTAGCAGACTTATGATCGGATTTCTGTGAAAGTTCTTCCGTTTTCGATTTATCAAAACTAAGCGGCAATTTATTTTTTCTCGGTTGTGTTTTAGGTGAAGTTAGAGGTGAAACACTTTTAGTGGTGGAACCTGGTTTTTTCGAAGATATGTCGGATTTCTTGCGAAAGTCGATTGCCATGCTCGAGTCAGGACTAAGGGGGGATAGGCGACCTTGTGGTGATTTCGAGGATCTGGGGCTACTTTCGTTCGATCTTAGAAGAGGGGACCTCGGACTTTTGGCATCTTTAAGAAAGTCGGCATCATCCAAAGACACCAAGGAACTCTTAGTCCTTGGAGGACTTTCGGAAGCTTTGGATTTCGAGGTGAAAGTCGAAAAGGTGTCATCTTTTTTGATAAGTGAACTTTTTGAGTCTCGATTTTCTTCGAGTTCAGTACGTCGACGTGCTCGTGAAGCCGAATGACCTGGGTCGGGAAAATGGGATTTGGTCATTCCTTTTTTGGGATCTTGTTGATCCCATTTGTCAAAGGAATCGGACTTGTCTCCTTCTCGCAAGAGGGCTTTAGAAAGGAAAGAAGTATCTTTGCCAAATTTGAGGGTTTTCCCAAATCCTTTTTCTTCGCCTAGAAGAAATTGATAAAAATAAAACACTAGTTTAGCAACTTTACGCTATCATTTGACGGAAATCAAATTTACCAAAAGTTTGTCACTTCAGCATCAACTCCTTAGTGTTTCACTGTATTTATTCACTTTTTCAAATTTTTACAAAATCTAAAATGAAAAAGTTGCGTTAATTTTTTTCGCCTTAATGTATGTCATTTTATCTACAATCTTCACAATTTTTTTCTATCAGTGAGTTTTTCAAAATGCAAACAAACCCCGGGCAAGTTTATGGTTTACAGTTATATGGTTTATTTAACATAAAAAAAACTTCTACAACATGTACTCAATTGTTCATCATGCCATGTTCAACTCTTTTTTAAATATGTTCTCAAAAGTAAAATTAGGCGGAGCTAATCATTTTCGAGTTAGTAGAAATTTCAATTGCCAAAAAAGAGATTCCCTGAGTGTCTGAGGACGTTTCTTGCAATTATTGCAAAATTTGCAAAAATGCAAAAAGAAGAAAAAATAGGACTGAAAGTTAATTACAAAAAGGAAAAACAATTACGAAATATTACGAAAAACAATTACGAAAAACAATAACAAGATAAATTGTTCATTGCGTTGGCTCTGATTCCTGACTGCGACTAAAAACTGGCATTAAAAGCTGCGTACAATACAATAACCGAGAATGAACAGTTCAAGCATTGATCTGTTTTTTCGAGAAAAAAGTACGTGGGGGTTTATGGGTGGGGAAGGAAGTAACGCAGCCAAACAGTTTGTAAGGTTTTTCGAACTTCCCTACAGAAATCCTTAAACATGAAATCTATTCAATATGTGTGTGAAAACAACAAATTTGTTTGACCATAACTGAAACTGTTTGATCACATGTAGTTTGCAAAAAAATTAAGCCATAGAATACCTGATTAGGATTAAAGAAAAGTGGAACTTTCGAAACAGATTCTATCGGTGAGTACGCATAACTTTCGGTTTTTTTCCAGTTTCCCTCCCCCCCCCCCCCCTCGTAAAACAGTTAAATAAAAAATAAAACTGCTCAAAAATTGTTCACGCGCAAATTTTCATAAATGTTGTAAAAATTTGTTCACCTGCGCTGACACGTTTCAATGCAGTTTGTAACATGAAAAGTAATTTAAAATAGACTTCCCTTTAATGAATTTCAGAAAAAAATCAAAGGGGGGAGGGACTGGAAAAGAGCCAAACTTTTATTTGTATCTTGGTAGTTTGTTAGTCTAGGGTGATTTTTTGTGCGCCGTTTTAAAAAATATATAAAAAAGAAGCTTACAGCTCCAAATCAAAACTAGTAAACTCTTCTATTTGTGATGAACAATTGCCTCAATGGCCTCAATTTTTTTCGTTAATTAGTTGCGTTACATTTTTCTTCTACAGTATACCTACTAAGAATTCTTAAAAAAACGTGGATTTGAAACCAGCTACGGAGTCAATTTCACAAGGCAAAAAATTTATTTAAAAAATTAAAGAGTTTAGTCAAGTAATGGCAAGAAAATTTTAAGTTGGGCATAGGTTACGCTCAACCCACAGCATCAAAAATCATTCAGGATATAAGAAAGGTCTATACGGGGGTCGAATTTTTGAGGGGGGAGGGAGGCCGTCTACCGCCCCTAAATCTGCTTTTGCTGTAATTTTTTTTATATTGAAGAAATTTTGACCCTCCAAGGCTTCAATTTTTATCGCCTTTTTTCACAATTGGTATTAACAATAATAATTTTCTTTTAAGAATTTTTTACAATTTGTCTGCTTTTGCGTGTTGTCTTTTTTGACAAAATGTGATTTTTACTTTTTGTGAGAAGGCTTTTGGGATCAAGTTAACATCCTCCCCCCTAAAAGAAAACGGAACTTTCGAAACAGATTCTATCGGTGAGTACGCATAACTTTCGGCTCTTTTCCAGTTTCCCTCCCCCCTCGTAATATAGTTAAATAAAGATGCTCAAAAATTGTTCACGCGCAATTTTGAATGTTATAAATGTTGTAAAAATTTGTTCACCTGCGCTGACACGTTTCAATGCAGTTTTTAACATGAAAAGTAATTTAAAATAGACTTTCCTTTAATGAATTTCAGAAAAAATCAAAAGGGGGCGAGGGACTGGAACAGAGCCAAACTTTCATTTGTATCTTGGTAGTTTGTTAGTCTAGGGTGATTTTTTGTGCGCCGTTTTAAAAAATATATAAAAAAGAAGCCTCAATTGCCTCAAATGAACAATTGCCTCAATTGCCTCAAATTTTTTTTGTTATTTAGTTGCGTTACATTTTTCTTCTACAGTATACCTACTAGGAATTCTAAAAAAATTTATATTTGAAACCAGCTACGGAGTCAATTTCACAAGGCAAAAAAATTACAAAAAAAATTAAACAGTTTAGTCAAGTAATGGCCAAACAATTTTAAGTTGGGCATAGGTTCCGGCTTTTGTCGCAGCACCCTTTTTACCATTCTTTTTTACCATTCGTTTTTTTTCTGAAATTCAGTGTATGAAAATCTTTTTAAATAGACTTTTTATGAAATTAACAGTATCAAAACGTGTCACCGTGAACAGTAAGTTTTTAGAACACGTTTTTAGAACATTTCTTACATGCCAAATGGCGTGAGAAAAATTTTTGAACAGCTTTGTTTGGTAAATTCACGAGAGGGTAGGAAGCGGGAAAAGAGGCCATAATTGCTTATAACAAGTGACTTACCACTCAAATAGTCCTCCCCCTCCCCGCTCTCCTCGAGAAGGTCCTCCAACTGGTGTCTACTCGCAACAGAAGACACACTCCGCCCACTCATGTCATTCAATCACAATTTGTCAATCAATCTGTCAATCAAAAGGCCAACTCGAAAATAGGGAAAAAGGTATATTTGAAATGGCGCTGTACTAATTGCAGTCTTTCAATAAATAACTATGCCGTTTCTGGAATGTTTCACCTTTTTAATGCTCCTGAAAAAGACCAAAATGATTTGGACTTTATAGTTCTTGATGCGCTCGAATAAATAATTTCCCGTCAAGCCAATAGTTCTCCAAACCAAGAGAATCGTTAGTTTTTATCAACTGTTTTTCAGATAATCATGATACCAACAAATAATGCACAGTCAGCAGCTTGTCCTACAGGTGATGAACAGTTTAAGCATATAATGAAAAGTGGATAAAGGCACAAAAAATCTGCAACAAATTCAGCTAATGTAAGAGTACAATAAGCTGAAGCCAAGCATTGGTACTATAAAACATCATTCAACATCCACACTTTCACCACAAGCATCAAGACTTTTTTCATCACACATGTTGTTTTTTCACGGCGAGGTGTGGTGTATTGATTGAATAAAATTGCACGTGCTACTTGTTTTGAATTTAACTGGACCGACCAAGTGCATAATCACGAGACGTTTAAAAAAGCAGCAAAGTACGAAATTAATAATTAAATGTGGTTCCTGCGAACCGCTGAGGAGCAATCAGTCCTGTTGAAGGATATTCCATTTGAGATCAATTGAGCAATCTCTTATTCCCCCCCCCCCCCCCGTAATGACCAATGAGCTATCCCCCCCCCCCCAGCAAAAACAAATAAACTCTTCAAAACGGCAGCAAACGGAAGTAGATGGATGTTTTGTTTATAGCACGCAATCATTTGACCGACTGAAGTTTTTGACTCTTTTTCCTTCCCCCCCCCCACCTACAATTTTTTATAATTAAAATTTCTGTTCGCATTGTCCGATTTTCATGAAATTGACATGCAAATAAATTAGGCCATGACAAACATATTTGGTCTTCATAAATAACCTTATAAAATCACTCGTTAGACCATAAAATTGATGCTCATGTGAGGTGGGGGGGGGGAAGGAAAAAGAGCCAAGTTTTTTTATATGAGTATCGAGAAAAATTTTGAGAAAAAAAAACTCGAAATTTATGAAATTTTTTTTTGGCAAATTTTTGTATAGGCGACCATAGCCTCATCGAGGAAAGCGATATACCAGGGTTGGTGCTCTAGCCTTGTATCTGAATAGCAAAAACGGTTCTCCGCAGCACCTTAATATTGTACGCAAAAGCTTTTTGTCATTTTAAGAAAGAAAAAAGTCGCTTTTTATGCCTGATTTATTGATTCTTTTTTCTATTTGAATGAAACTTTTGAGCTTTGATATTGTAAATTTTGGCTTTCCACAGTCGTTGGAAAATATGGTTTATCATAACATGTCATTCAAACTAGTTTCAAGTGGTTATAAACATGTCTCAAGTACCTATTGAGCTATCTCCCCCCCCCCCCCCCCCCCCACGCGAGACTACATCTATAATTGATTATAATTTTTACTGAAATGTAGAATAATTTAATACGGATTTCAAGAGATTATAATCGATTAATAATTGATTATAATAGATTTTTTTGAATTTTCACTAAGACAGCTACTAAAATCATACTATAATCGATTGTTATCTCTTGAAACTGGGTGCGGGCAGTTATTTTGTAGGAAAGTCTGGTACATGAGGAGACTCTCCTTCTCCACAGTGTGTGCTAAGTTCGGCTCTTTTTCCTTTTCCCCCCCACCTGCAATTTTTTACATGTAAATTTGTTGACCACATTGTCCGATTGTTATGAAAATTTACATACAGACTAATAAGGCCACGATAAACATATTTGGTCTTCATATTCAACCTCGTAAAACCACTCGTTACACTAATAAGTTGAAACTGGCGTCAGGTGGGGGGGAAAAGGAAAAAGAGCCCTAAGTTCTTCTACCGTCATCTTGTCATGACCGACAGAAAAGATATTGCACGTAAAGCATAGTTTGTCCGTTTTATCGACCCGCTCCCAGCACTGGGGTAAACGGGCTTGTTTTCCACTCACTCCCCCCAGGCTTTTCAAAACTTCTGTTTTTGTGAGTTCTTTTTAAGTATTATTATGGCCAAACGTGTGATATTACAATGTAATGAATGAAAGACAATAATGTTCACAATTTTAGTTTGTTCACCATGCGAAGTTTAATAGCATTACGAGAAAATTTGAAAGTTAAAGTGGGGGATAGGAGTAGAAAACATCCCAAAAACGGGTTTCGAGGGCTCTTTTCCAGTTCCCCCCTTTGATTTTTTCTGAAACTCATTAAAGGAAAGTCGGCTCTTTTTCCTTCCCCCCCCCACCTGCAAATTTTTACATTTAAATTTTTGACCACATCGTCTGATTGTAATGAAAATTTACATACGGACTAATAAGGCCACGACAAACATATTTGGTTTCCATGCTCAACCTCGTAAAACCACTCGTTACACATATATATTGAAGCTCGTGTGAGTTGGGGGGAAAAGGAAAAAGAGCCGGTAAGTCTATGTAAAATTACTTCTCATATTGAAAAAAGCATTAAAACCTGTCAGCATGACCAGGTGAACAAATTTACACAAAATTAAAAACGTGCGGCTCTTTTTCCTTTTCCCCCCACCTGCAATTTTTTACATGTAAATTTGTTGTCCACATTGTCCGATTGTGTATGAAAATTTACATACTGACTAATAAGGCCACGACAAACATATTTGGTTTTCATACTCAACCTCGTAAAACCACTCGTTACACCAATATATTGAAGCTCGTGCGAGGTGGGGGGGGGGAGGAAAAAGAGCCAAACATGCAAAATGTCGTGTAAACAATTTTTGATCAGCTTTGTTTTGCTTTTTCACGATGGGAGTCGGAAACTGGAAAAGAGCCGTTTCGAGGTAAATCCATTGATCTAACAAAGTTGTGTTTTGTGTATGAACTCCATATCTATTTCGGGCTCTTTTTCTTTTTTCCCCCGCCAGCAAAGTTGGCAGTCTAGCTTTTTTGTTCACATTGTCGAATTGTTATAAAATTTGGCATATGGACTAACTAGGCCATAACAAACATATTTGGCTTTCATACTCAACCTTGTAAAACCAGTCGCTACACCATGAAATTGATGCTTATCAGAGGTGGGAGGAAAGGCAAAAGAGCTCTATTAGCATTGTCAGAATGCAACAAAACTTGACATAGCCAAAAAACTAACAATTGTGAATAGATTTTTTATTCATACTTTAAATTGTAAAATCACACATATAACAAGTATAACAACTAAAGTTTGAAATTTGGAAAGATGGTGGAAAGTGGAAAAGAGCTTCTAATTCAAGTTAACTTCAACTCAAGCTATTTTTCACTTTACCACAACTTTGAAAAACTGTTTTGACGTTCCACAGCCAAAGTCCGCGACTCATGTTGCGACCGAAATGGGTCGCCGAAATGAAATTTTTGCGACCAAAATACCATCATCCCGCAAGAAACTCGAGTCGCACAAAATCACAGTATAGCTAATTTGGGTCGCGCAAAGTCGCAACATAGTTCGCGTAAAGTTCAAGTAATGGAATTGTTGACAAATTTTTTTGCTTGCATAACCGTTATACATATGCAGACAGCAAAATAATCCAGTATATATGTATTTTTAATCAGTATAAGTTAGCTAGATCAACATATTCGCTGATCACATACAGGACCGCCACGAGAAGGCCTACACATGGTCTCAATATAAAAAATAAGCAATCATTTTAGGGCAACTGAAAGCTAGAAACCATCAAAATCAAGCTGAAATGAATCAGGTGGAGTTAAGAATAAGAAAAAACTATAACTAAATGAAAGAAACTTACCATGAAGCTAAAATTAGAAATAATTTTTGGTGAAAACTTTTGCTGGCAGAAGCCTATTTTATATGCAAATTGCAAAATAACCCAGTCTGTATGTGTTTTTAAAGTGCAGTTAGCTAGACCAACAGATGTGCTGATCATATACAGGACCACCGCGAGAAGGCCTACATATGGTCCCAAAGTTATTTAAAAGCTTTTTTTTAGTTTTTGGGGCAGCAACGTCATGAAGTAATGAAAGTTTGCTTGGTGAACAACTTAACTATCGTGAATACATTGTTTTTTTGCTTGCATCGTAAAATAACGCATTCAGCTATAGCTACAATAAGACCACTAAGAAAATGAAAATTTTGAAATGCAGGAGGGAAAGTTGAAAAGAGCCAATCCATTATCAATAAAGTAAAAATCTCAGTTGGTGTTAATGTTGATTAAGCAAGGCCGAAAACGAAAAACTCCCTCAAAATCGATTTTAATTTTGATTTTTTTAAATGCCGTTGTAATTAAAGAAACTTTGCATGGTGAACTTGCAAAAATTGAGAACTGATTTGTTCTTCATATCTTACATCGTAACTTCTCGCGTCTATCCATAACAGTATTCAAGAGAACTATGAAACTTGAGGTTTGTGTGTGTGAGGGGGAGGGGTTGTTGTAGTTGTGTTGGTGGAGGTGGAGGAGGGCGTTGCTGAAAATATCGCAAATTTGTTCTCTCATCCAGTTTTATGCCCTAGTTGCTTGAATTTTTCGGCTTTTTACCATTTTCCCCCCAACCATATATAAAAACTAAATTTAAATTAGAACAATAAATTGATTTTTTTCTCTGATTTTTTGTCATGATAACTGAGGTTAGATTTGAGCTGACAAGGATTATTTGTAGAAATTATGCTGTGTTGAAAACAATTCTGTTGGTTGAATCAACCACTGTGATCCTTTTTAAAATCATTTTGCTACAGTTACACTTTCGAGGTCGTTAAATTCAAATACAAAAATAACCCGTGATCATTTTTGGCGATGTCATTGGGTAACAAAACTGAAAATTTGACTACTTCACACTGATTACAACCCGCTTGGTACCTACATTCAAACATGCATGCATGTAAAAGGTAAATGTTTTGATGTTTCCACTCTACTCTATTTGAAAAAACTATGAATAATTCTATCAGAGAACTGAAGTGCAGTCGCAGCATTGATGTGTTCTCTCTGCTAGAAGGAATTTTTATCAATCTTCAATTAATCATATGGATCATATTAATTATTCCCCGAAAGCTTACGAGCCAGCTACATTTTTAGATACTCATCAGAAATTTTTTTTCCAATTTTGTTCAATCAGTTTCTATGGATTGTGTTATTTTCGTTCTTTATTTTGTCATATATGCTTTATAATAGATGCTTTGACAAAATCAATCATACGATTGTACTTAATGATCCCACTACTTGGATACTAGAAATTTTAGCGAGTTTGTTGTTTGAGTTTTAAGTTTTTTCTTGAAGTAAAAAGCGCTTCAGGCTAATTTGCTAGAGATATGAAATGAAGACTCTTTGGAGATGAAAAAAGCTTACTTGATTCTTAAATAATGTGAAATTTCCTCGTTGCAACAGTAAATTCCGAATTCAATTGAATATGTTAAGTAACTTACTCT